TTGCCTGAATTAATTGAACACTGTTTTTAGTTAGCTATACCTGAAACACAATTATAAATGTTAAAGCGTATTTTTATTCACTATTTATTGGTGATATTTATTTATTTATTTAGTGGATAAATACAGTAACACTAGCCATCTGCATTAAAAAGTGGTCTTTTTTTAAAGGAATACTCTAAAAAGATTACATAAATTATTATAGTTCGAACTAACTGCAATTCCATGTAAATGTTTTTTCAGCCACATACTTTTGTGTCTGGGCCATTGGTATTGCGAGAAACTTATTGACATCAAAATCTGCAATCAATCGTTTAACAACTAGATAACTACTCTAAATACGGATCAACTTCAGTTTTTGGATACAGTTTCATTTAATCACATAATTACAACCAAATACCATATTTTAAATAAAATATAGATCTCTTTATCTCCAGACGGAGTGATTTCTCTCGACAAATCAGTTAGAATTAGTTTTCAAAGAATAGTACATTTTATTGCTTTGTGTGATGTTTATGTAGTATTCAAAATTATATATATATATATATATATATATATATATATATATATATATATATATATATATATATATATATATATATATATATATATATATATATATATATATAGGACTATTGTTTATCTCAATATGGCCATATGATTTTGATATTATATATTAATGCAGCCAGGGCAAATTATCTATCATCCCATATGTCATTTTTGTAGACAGAATTATTTATATACGCAAAATATATATCAAATAATAGTAGGCATGCAAGCCATATCTACTAATTAATTAGGTTAAATATAATCAAATAACTTGTAATCGAATAAATGATAGCATGTGGTAATATATAACCTAGTGGATTGTAGTAATCACGAACTATAATATACAAAATTGGATATAACATTATTTGTTTTACATATATTCAGTGAATAAACAAACAATTGACGTATAATACTTTATCATTATTCATTGTTCAGGGTCGAAGTTAAATAAAATATAAAACTTGTATATGCATAAATCAAACTTCTTTTAATACTACCCACTTCTTATCAAAGTTTTGCACAGAAGTTCGACTTAAAATTTGTATCTAATATGCTTGAGAAAACACTCTCAGTCTTATTATTTTTGATTTATATTACTATATATTAAAATAAAACCAACCAAAGTGAATATATTCGGAAAAAAATGGAGAATAAATCCATTTGTTTGTGAGCAGTTGAATCATATAATCTAGAGTATTCAAGAATTTATGATCCTCTTGTGTATCAACAAATACTTTAATTAATAACTGCATCACATTGTTCAGATCATCAGTCACTAATGAACCTGATTAAAAGAGTGTGATATTTAACATCATTTGTAAAACTGCTCAGGAATTGCAGAAGTTAAAAAAATATTTTATTTTTGATAAAATAAAAAAATGGGACATAATTAAGATAATGGGGTATTGTATTTCTTTGAAACAATTCGAAATTAAGACCATTAAATTTATGTAGGTAGCAATAAGTCACGTTTCTGTAGCTTTTTTTATCTTCCATAGGGGTAAAATTTTCCAGGCTTTTAGATCCTACATTTCTTGATAAAGCAAACAACATGTCAACGTAAAAACAAAACATGGAGAATCTTTGATCTAATTTGTTGTTGATGTATCTTGATGTAAATAATGTAAATTTTGTAAGGAAGAATTATTGGTTTTTGTATATGCATAGGTTTATTGTATCAGAAATATTATTTATAGCAACTGCGCTCGTATATCTCAGGTCCTAAGTTCTATTGGGGTTAATAGTATGGTTTTCTTTAACTAAGATTGACATACAGAAAGCCTAGTTCATCAGTAGATCTTTTTAATAGTCTCAGTGAATCCGTAATCGTAATATCGACCACTTGTCCAAGGTATTACAATTAGAATTAAAGTTAACTAATTCATATTCGAATGAAACTTAGGAAAGCCTACAGTAATATAATCTATATCAACCGTGATTTTAAAACTTTTCATGACTATTGTTGTGAAACTACATGTGAAATTTTTATTGAATCCTTTAACCTGTGAGATACAAAAAAGGAGTTTTGAAAGCTTTAACTGTCGGAAAAGCTGCTTGTTACAATACTTTCACTAGAAGATATTTTCTACCCTGAAATGTTTTATCAAAAGACTATGAAATGTGAGTTACCACATACTGACTGACATTAATTTAAGTTGTTGGCACTCATGAAAATTATAGTCTATAAGATCTCCTTGGAACATGTTTTTTTAAGAATGATGAACGTAAGCGGCATTTGTCGAACATTTGTCGACTGTAATTGGAATTATTAATAAGTTTATATTATCATCGAGGTTTGAATTGATTATTAAAAAAACTGACCACCGTGTGAACTGTTTGTAATAAATAGCAATCATTTCATATCTATTATCGAAAGAGTTGGCCCAAGTCTTCAAACGGCAGAGGTTCAGTTTTCTACTTATTGAAGTATGCAACTATATCATTATTACTTGCTTAAACAGGAATGCGCCAGTTGAGTCAAACTTCCAAAAGTTAAAAATTGTTTCGATTTCGTTTGAATGTTTTTAACATAAAAGTTATCGAGAAACCTCTTCATTCCTGAGGATTGTAAAAACTATTCCCTTTAAAAAAACTTCTTGAAGTCATGAAAGTGATGATTAGATAATTGTATTTAGTTCTAAAACCAACAACAATGACTTGGTTAAAGTTTACGTAGGTTTAGAAGAATTAGTCCTCTTGATAAATTTCGATAGTGCACCAAGAGGACGAAGATTATCAGAACTATGTAATATATTAGCGCAAAACATTTCGAACAATCTGATCACACATTTATTTGTTAAAAACATTTATATATAAAAATAAAGGGCCAACTAGACTAGAAATGGGGGCATGAGGAGACAAAGATAATAATGAAAATAACATGAAAAACAACTTGAAGCCTCATCACTCTGGATAATAAGCTAATATTACTAGGGTAGATTTAGGCTGAGAACAAACTTTCTTTGGGTTTTCGTACGGCCATGGCTTCAATAAACCATAGTTTGCGCCATTTTACGCAGTGTTAATATCAATCTTATCACCTCTTTCAACTATATGTTTAAAAACAGGGAGCGATGGTTGTATTTCATATATAGGTCACGTAGTCAACGAAAATGGTGGAAAGATAAGGTCGTAGATTGAAGAATAATATTGTTGATTTTAGATCTTCAGGATTTCCATAATTTTTAGAATAGGGTTCTGAAAATGACCATATACGTTTACTTCGATCTGCATGAAATATGAGTCAGATTGAACTACGCTGATGACGACTATATTTTACTACTGTACTCTATGTAGTCAGTCAGAAATCACTTTTATTTGAATGGAACTTATGTAGATTGTGTTTATTTCGCCACTCCGTGTTGAGAAACATCTTTTTACATTGATTTTCCTCGGTACTGATCCATTTTAGCTTCATATTTTACGTATTTTGGTGTTCCATCAAATTAAGAATTTTGTGTCTTTTATCCAAACTTTAACGTGAACCATACTTGGTTAAGTATAAATAAATAGAATTATTTAAACAAATAAAGTCAATTAAATGTGTGCACATGCTATAGGTCTAATAATCATTTTTTTATAAGCAGAGAATGGAGATTTGATAACGCAGTTTTTCGTCAACATCACATTTTTAATTACACTATTTATAACCACAATTATGACTTCATAAATGCCAGTATCCTTCTGCAATTTAAAGCTTTTGGGTCTGATTTTTAAAACGCATCGCATTTAGCAATACTGTAGATATAACACGGGTTTATTGATATTTAGCCAGTATTTATTAGTTTCATCACTTCTGGTTGCTACCACTAGCACGGAAAACAAATTTTTGACATAATCCAAAAATAATTATTAACATTCTAGTTACTCGAACAGTAAAATTAGTATAAGCTGACTCTTGGAGTGAGCTTATTAGAACTTTATTTGTAACGTGTAAGTTTTAATAAAAATAATCGCTTCCTACATCTCAGTATAAGTATTTGTTTGCACTGATGCCCTTTCTTCTGTGAATTTCTCAGGGAATTCATCGTCATCGAAGCCATTATATGATTTAAACTTGAAATTGACTAATAAGTGCTCTTTAAAGTTTATCTAAGTGAATTTTCCAAAGTGCGAGAATACTTAATCTCTCTTTTACTATTGATAAGATTTTCTGAATGAAATGAAAGTTGTTAAGTTACAAAAATTCTAATTTTCCACGATTTTCTGTCAAATTAGCTAAACTGAGATATCCTGCTGAGCTTTAAATTATTCCTAAATTAGCAATCAAATTTTTTAATTCAAAGGCTGGTGTCATTAAAGTTTTCCTATGGAAGCGTCTAAATATCAGTAATTAGTTTTACAACTTGATGTATAAACCACTTTATTGTTTCGAATAATTAATTTACAATTGGTGAATTGTAGAAATGTCGAAGAATACTGCATTTTACTATGAAGTAATTAAAGTACTTTTGATTGCATGCATCCTAACAGTATTACTGTCTACTTAGTAGTTAGTTTATAATGAACAACAGATTTCGGAGTAGAAAATATTATTCTTTCGAGTAAGGCTTATTTTCATATGATAAATCTTTCAAAACATTAGTCACTTATTGTGTCATCCAGCATATGATAATGTGAATGAACGTTTCTTATTTAACTTGTCTTGTTCTGAAAATATAATTAAATTTCTGCTACAGCTATTGCAGTACAGATCAGTTACCATAAAATACAAATACATTTATGTAATGACATCAGGAATTTTGTCAACCCATTATTATTACGTCCTATACTTAAGTCCATCTTAATTCGTTTAGTGGTTAATCAACATAATTCGTGGTTTTTTTTATAGTTTTCATTCATATTTAGAGAAGTATTTGATAAGGCATTTAGCACATCTCGTTCAACAAGTTCACATTATTTACAAATCATAACTTCAGTATATTTTTGGTGCAAAACTTATATTATGCTTCCTGCTGCAAACAAACATTGTTATAAGTGTACATAATGACGATAGATATGAATACATTTCAGGGAAACATTAAATTCTTTATCTAAAAACTGAGTTTAAAATCATTTTTATCCAAATGAATATTTGGTAACCAGTGGTTTGTTCTTAAATATCTATATCTACATCAGTCAAGCAAATCAATTCAATAGCTACCAGAAGATAAATTAATTTAGTGATCAGTTTCTAATAAATATGGGTTAGTCAATAGATATGAAAATGTACCCAGTTTACATGATCATGTTTATCCTTTGTCATAATGAAACTATTGAAAGAACTACTGAGGAATCTTAACACTTGTGTACTTTCTGCACGTGTACATAAATTCTCATTTCTAATCATGTAAAGTTGTAAATTATTGGACATATTGAATTCAAAGATTCACTTACTGGAAATGTTCCTATAATCCTCACCAGAATCGTTATGCTGTATGTTTATCAGAGTAACAAAAATATCAACAATCCACTATTTCTGTAAACGTAAACTTGTATGAATAAAGTATAAATAATTTTTACGTTAATTTTCTTTATCGATGATGTAACTGTTGTGTTGTAATATGGTCACTCCATATCAACTTTTATTGCCGAATATTCTGTTATTGTAGAAACATGTCCATTTGCAATATTTTGGTATGAAATATATTGTTTTCACTATAAATATATATATACCGTATATAATACAGAACGAAAAGTTATTGAATTTGGTAAGCCAATCAAAATTTTCTCTAAAAAGTGTGTTCAAGGTCTAATTTGACTGTATAAGCTATATTACATTGTGTGTATGTTGACGGTGGTGGTCGAGGGTGGATAAGTGGCGGAAGGTTATGTTTATTTCTTTAATCAGACAACTATTGTTTTGCTCCAAGTTATAGAATTTATGTCCTTCTGCATGCAAATTTTCGAATTAAGGCCATCAACCAAACATATGCATTCGACACACATACATACATAACTATAAGACAAAAGAAAAGACATATTGACAGCATACAGTAAAAAAAGACTACTTAATGTTTTTCTAATGTGAATATTCTAGATGACAGGCGGTTGACAGTTTAAACACTTAGTGAATGCTATACTAATTTTCTTACTACTTTATCATTACCATGTCGATGATGTTCAAAGCTGTTTGGTAGCGAAACTAGGTTGACATAAAAATTCCAGGTTGGGGAATAGCAAAATAAAGCTTTACGTTCCATATATTTGAACGTGATGGTTCATATATATATATCTGTCTATGAACCGCAGTAAAAATGTTTTAGTTTCATCCTTTATAAAAAAAGGATAGCAACAAACAAGCCATCATGCGTTTTGTATAATATCTCGTGTATATATTAACTAGTTCACTGATGGGATTGGTCGATGAACTTACTAAATAGATAAGAGAGTAAAACTAAAAAAATCCTTTATATACATTATATATGCATATACATTCCTGTTTATCAGTCGTAGTTAATCGACATATCAAGATATTGTGCACTGTTGATTTGTTAAGAAAAAGGAAAACACAAAACTAAAATGTTCTAAACCATTTTTTTTCATAGATGGAACAGTTGATGTGAAGAAAATAATTAATGATTATTTTTCTCCTTATATCAATTAATTAGTTTATTGTTATGATCCATATAACTGTAGAATTTGATTAAAATATTTGATATCAATTAGTGTTTTCATTGTTCTACCGACTGAAGAAGATCTTTGGTAGACTCATACAGATTCCCAAATTGACGACATCCAGATATTTAGTGAAAGAATAACTTGGTACCTGTAAAAGGTTTTAGAAATGATTAAGTTTTGAATTCACTCAATGTTCAAACTTTTTGTTACCAGTATATTTGAATGAGTGTCCAATATATATGTTACATATGAAATGGAAACACAGTCGCCTGTTAGAACCTGGAAAGTTACAACATGTGCATTAACTGTTGTTGATCATTAACATTAGACTAGACCGATTGTAAATATATGGTTTTAATTTCATTCGTCAATACTAAAGATTAGTAGTGAAAAAATGTATTACAACAGAAATATGCAATGGATTTCATGATGTTAAAACTGATGTTCACTAGCACTCTTTGACGAACAATAAAAATCAATAAATATCCGCTAAGAGCTGAATATTAATGGTAAGGACACGACCATTATCATCTAGTGTTTGGCTATTTAATAAAGAAATATTGACTACTATGAAATGTTTGTTCACATGTTGTGTAGTTATGTGATATGTAAAATAATAATATTTTAGCTAGCTTGAGAATAACAGGATGACTCCTGATGAGTGTTGAAGAATCAGTATATTCTCACGATTTGAACAGATCATGGTTAAAATTGATTGGTTTGAGCTTTCTTTAAATGGAAATTGGATAATGCATCACTTACTTAAGATATTCATTCAAAGATAATCAAAATATGGTTTATGAAAATATTACATTTTATCTACGTTGTAATTTATCATAAACATCATCGTCTTTATCAGAAAACGTTTGGTTTTATAATAATCCACATAAACTATGTGATTGTTCCCCGAAAACTGATCAATTTACCACTAAATTATTAAAGCGAACATTGATAATATTTTGTTTAATAATGAATTATTAATAAGAAATATGATAAGCGATTAAGAATTGTTTAGCACAATTATTTTGTATAATTCACTTTGGTTAAAGTTCATGCATAGTATCCTTGTTATTTCTTGTATCATCAAGAAATAAGCTAATAAATTATCGTCTTTTATTATTTTTTTAAATGTCTCAATGATAAAAATGTAGATTAGTTGTCATTTGACTTGACTTAAACATTTAGTGATATGTATACTACATAATCTATTTTGTTCATTATAAATTAACAAGGGAACTAATTTAATATTAATCCATTTTGAATGTAATTACTACGGTAAATTTGGAATTCTATTCATATACAAAAAATAATAATAATAATAACAGAACTTTTTAAAAAAATTTATCCCTTTAAATGTTCTGAATAAAAAGATAATAATTACGTCGTTCATTTCTTCACATTCAATATTATTTCTCAAAGATGGAAATAATTGTCTACAGAATATACATAATATGGGCTTGGAGGTATTTTACCAAAACTCACATGATTGATGTTGATAATAATAACCAAGTACAAGTAATTATACAAGGTATCATCTATCACATCATATTACTATATAATATTGATGCATCAGTATTCTTCTAAATGCATATTTTTGTTCTGTGTCAAAACTGAATTAATAGAAGTAATGGTAGTATTCATTAGGATACATGGGTGGTTGTATTATGGTGTCACTAATACGGAACAGCATATTAAAATATGTTATGTGGTCAAGACAAAATTTAACACATGCTCACATGACACTAAAGGTTCATTTAGATAACTCAAAATCATCTTCAATATAAATATTTTTATTATTGTTCCGAACGATATGAAAGTTTCTGTGAAATAGTTCAAGAATTGACTAAACTATATTTCACGTCACAGTCTAGTATAAGAAATTAGTTTAACACAGAAGTTTATTTCGGTTAGCTGAAGACTAATGGCATTTTAAATGATGAAATCAAATATGTTGATCAATTGACTAAAACGTCTAATCTGACTGATCTAAAATGGTATTGATCAAAACATAGTTACATCGGTAGAACATTTGCTTGGAAAACCGTAAATATATTTTCTTTAATACTATTTTCTGTTGACCTCAAATTATTCCATTTTATTATATAAATTCCAACTGTAATAAAAGCCAATATTTTCAAAGCCATAAGTTGTCCGAAGAAGTTACAGTTGTATTGATTTATTTGCCTTATTTTATTAAAACTCTAACTGATTGGTGACAAACAAAGTTTTGCAAAATTCACTCTTGATTTTGTGAAACTAAAATTGATTTCAGTGTGCTGTCTATTATAATTGTGACCAATGTTTCCACAAAAGTAATACTTTGTTTACCTGTAATGAGAAATTTGACACTGTTTAGGAAAAGCGCATAAGTAAACTTTTAGACAACTATACCACAATGTATCAAGGCACAAATAGGAACCATGGGGCTGAAAAATCTGTAAGAACGTTACTTTGAAAGCACTTGATAGAACATCAAAGCGGGAACTTACTTTCCCCAATGGTATTAAGGTCTCCAAAAAAGGAGAACATTAGGGCAACTTTATGAACATCTAATTTTGTCTAGCATTATTTTTCCTACAATGAAGATAACAATGATAGTTCTATTTCATTGTATATGACTGTCTTGAATTATGTTTCGTTTATGAGCTATTGGTGTATGGGAAACAATGCTATCATTTTAATGGAGAGTTTCTAAAAGTATTCATTTGAAAACGTGACTAGTTTTTTATATTTGAAAATGTAACACTCAAATATAACGTAAGATGCGTAGTCAGAAATAACCCTACTGACTGACTAGATTTAGAGATAAATGTTCGCATTTTATGTAATCAGCTTCTCCGAAATAAACGTGAAGGATCAAACAAAAATTTATCTTAAACTGCTTTGATTTATTTTCTATCAAGTTCTTTTCGGCCGTCTTAGCACATACCAGACAAAATAATAAATCATTGCTTTGGTATCATACTAATGAAATGAATAGGGTGGAACTCTGATTTGAAAGTTATCTTGCCTACAATTTAAACATTTGCGATTACTTAAAAAATGTATTATTTCCGAATACGTAAATCATTGTGCTTATTTACATTAGCCTATCGTGCATAAATCTGTCAAAACAGAGACAGATGTGATGTATAATGTGCTGCCATGCCGTCAACCTGATAATATTTCTATCACATTACATTACCTTTAGAATGTCTACGGTTGTTTGTCATGTTACCCAATAGAAGAGTGATATTGTCTATTGTGAAAAAAGCATCTGCCTAGTGCATCATGATTTTCCTCAGTTACTTAGTGGATGTAAGTTTGCATTCAATACCGTTTTCAACATTCACGGATTTTTTACAAGATCATGTCCATTTATTCATAAATTGTTTCTTGCAATTATACATTGACGTACTGTTTTGCTAATCGAAGTATTTTCGTCAAAACTTTCCATCTACATTTTAGCCATCACCAGTCCGGCAATGTTTTTATTACTTTATTAAATATAAGCCGCTTATTGGTTTATTCTAGATCAATCCGTAATATCATTATTTGTTAGAAATACGCAGGTAAGTTGGGAAGACATTAGAGAAAAGTTTTTCGTTATCATAATAAATTTTCTTCATGTATAAACTTCAGATGCCGAAATATTATTAGGTCCAAACTAACAATCGACTGAATAAGGAAGAGTTTTGCTGAAAATTATATAATTTTTAAGTGTTATTCACAACAACTGACCCAAGTTGAGGTGCCTTCGGAAGCTATTAATCAATTAACAATGAGCACCATGAAAGGCTTGACGTTCCTGAGTTTAATTATTGAAATCCTTATGTGTAAGCTACTGGGAAAACCCATATGGGGACTTCCAAGTTTCCCTAAATTGTCAAGATCATTTGAATTGAGATCATTCATGAACGAACAATTTATTTGCCCAATATTAATGTCCATTTTTGATAACCTTTTTTGCCATTTAGTGGTCATAACATGTAAATAGCGAAATCATGAATATCTACCATAGTATTAATTAAGCGGAGGATATAAAAAGTGGTTCCTCATTATGTTTAGGTTTAGA